CACGATATGGTAGTTGATTCGATGTGCTCTTTGTATTCACCGTCTTAAACAAAATAATAACAGCTGCATGTCGGACCCTTGGTCAGGAACGTAACCCCCACATCGTGTGGTCGTTTGTCTGGGAGAATGAGTCTCGATTTACGTCGTTTCGACACCGCGTCGCCTTTGTTGGAGATACGTCAACGGACGTAGGTCCGAGGACCACGTGGACGGGGGCAATCTCCCACTTACGAACATGTTCCCTGAGACCCCGCCTCTGCTCGTAAGTCGAGCGGTTCGTAAGTTGGAGCACAATAAATATGTACCGCATTTAAACGCGCACATGGTCAGCGTTATAAAATGTGTGTACGCACGTACGTTGAACTTCTGTCGAACTGTGCGTAGCCAACCCGTCGCTGATCGGAGGTGCGTTGGGGAAGGACAACAAACTAAACACAACAACAACACGCAGTTGTAAAGGAATGAGATTGTCAATGTGTAGTAGGTTCAATGAGACGTGGACGACGTAGTTGGAAGGACACTTATTTATTATAACGTTTCACTCAGCACAGGTCAATGTATACAACACTCGAAGGGGTAACAGCCCCTTCACCCGTCTAACAGGGAGACCCCACTGTCTCTAACCCGGCTAGCCTACTCCCAGGTCCTCCTCTCGAGAGCTAGGGGAGGCTAGCTGATCCAGCTCTGGTCAAGCTAGGATCACGGCACCCTTAGTCACCAGACCGGCTCTTACAAGAGCATCGGCTCTGGGCTCTTGGGGCCACGCCACTGGCTTGCCCTGGTCGGTCCTTAGAAGGACGGCGATCCAGGGGAGTCCCAGGGCCTATCTAGCCGGTCTTCACTCTTCACTGGTTTAAGCTAAACACTGAACGCCGAGCCCACCGGCTCACCGCCTTATATAGCAACGCCCTCCCCGAGGGGTGGGGCCGTGGGGGATAACAGCGCCGTTACAGCCCCCCAGGGCTAACCGATGCGGACGTGGATGTAAGCATCCTTCCGCGTGCGGGAATAACCACCCATGGTGTGTTTGTTCGCCCTCCCGTAACACCCCTACAAATGTAGCTGATTTATAAGTGCACCACAGCTCCCCAGGGGCTTCCTAACATCGGAAAGGAAGAGTGTCCCAGACGGCCGCGGAAGCGCCGCGAGGATGGCGAGCTGAGTTCGCGCGATGATGGTTTAACTCTGCCTTGACGAGATCATCGGCGGGATAGTTACGGTTCATTTGGTGGCAAGTGACATTGTGTGTAATGAGCACACCCATGATAACAAGGCTGCTGCTGTATTCGTCTGGCAAGCGGAAGGCAATGCAGCTCAGCGAGCACCGGATGGACCACGGTTCGAGTCTTGCACAAATGTGTTACAATTCGTCTATCTATATATATAAAAGGGAAATTTGTGAATATGTGTGTCTGTTCAAAATGTTTAGCATACTTCCCGACATGCAACAAACTTGAAATTTGCCATGTGGGTACTTTCCAGACTGTACACCATGCAAAAATTATAAAAATAGACTTTTGTATTTGTTGGGGGCGAGAGGCGCAATAATGCATATATTTTGCACGGCAAGTGAGCTGTGACGTCACATCTGTCATGTCACCCGCGCATGCGGAAGCGTAACGCAGTGTGCCTGCTCATGTCACGCACCCCCAACCCTCTGCGAGTAAAGTGCCATACAAATGTGTTGCAGGTCTAAGACGTTCTTTGCGCAGCATTGGTTTATTGAGTCATTTACTACCGTACGCACCCTGAAAGTTGTGTGTGTCTGCAGCAAGCGCGTGTTTGTGTACCTATGGTTGCGCTCGCGTTTGTGTGTGTGGGGGGGGGAGCGGTAGTGTAGTGGTTAGCGCGCTGTGCTACGAACCTGGTGACCCGAGTTCGATTCCCACTCACGGCCAACACCGGTGACGATTATTTGAACAAGTAACTGGTGTGTGAAGGCGGTGCGGGCGTGGTGAATCCAAGTCCCGCGCGAAGCCGGGTAGTAAAGCTTGTATATGTAAAGTGGCGTAGCTAGGATATTTTGCGCCCGGGGACGAACTATAAAATTGGTGCCCCCCCCGTTTAATCACATACCAAAATGTAATTACATGACATGTAGGCTGTGTGTGGCGGGATATATAAACTTTTAGGTTGAGGTGTAGATTTGTGCAGTAGTTTCAGGCTGCCGCGCCCGCCGCAATAAGCCTCATTTTGGCGCCCCTTTACCTTGGCGCCCGGGGACATATGTACCCCCCTGCCCCCCCTTGTTACGCCTCTGTATATGTATAAAAACAATTACCATTGTTAAACTCATGACTAAAAAGACGTACTGTACATTTGCACATAGCCATGGAATAAAAAAAACTGCTGTGAGGATGAGCGGAGTTTATCCTCCTTGACGACATCGGTGGCGAGGCATCGTGGCTCATTTGCAGCGGGCTACTTGCGCATGCTGAGCGCGATGGGTTGTTTAGAAGAGCCATCACCCGCAAGGTTGTCTCTCCTCTTCGATTATGCGGAGCTGTTATGTATTGTACGTTGAACTTCTTTCGCACCGTACATAGCCAACCATTCATTTTTTCCATATGTAATGCGAGCGTAAATGGGGTTGCTGCTGGGCTCTGGCCCAATCACACGGCCCGGGGTATTGGGGGGCGGAGCCCAGTATGGGAAGGCCGGATCTGACGATCCAGAAGGGGAGTTGTCAGGGTCACGTGGGGGAGAAGATATAGGGGGAGCCCAGAAGGGATCGGGGTCAGTTGTTGGAGTGAAGAAGCGGGACCACGTTGGGTGGCCGCCGCGCCATCAGCCACGTGGCTGATGGGGCTTCGGCACACCGTCGGCCAGCGGTGTGCGGAGCGGGGAGGAGCTGACGGGAGAGCGCGTGTGGGGCGCGCGCGAGGAGGAGCTGACGGGAGAGCGCGTGCGAGGCACGCGCGAGGAGGAGCTAACGGAGGAGCGTACGCGGCATGCGAGAGGAGCGTGCACGGCACGCGAGAGGAAGAGTGGAGGAGCTGAGGAGGAATCGCGTGCGGGGCACACGCGAGACGACGCTGGTCCGCGGAGGAGACCAGCGGGGTGCGGAGAAAGAACTTGAATAAAAGACAAACGGAGACCAGCAGTGCCTGACGGAGTCTTTTATTACACAGACCGTCTGTTTTAAGATCCACGGAAGTAGATAATGCTAACGTTGACATGCAAATTGTCGACAGCTCTTACGAGGTCTTTTTTTGATGGGGTGTGGCCTATGTGCATAGTCTCCATCAAGTAATTTCACTGACTTATCAGAAACCTTTGTTGGTTGTTCAGCCAATGAAAAAAAAGTTATCTTTTGAATTTCAAGCCACATAATTATCTCTGTGTCAGGCAGGTATATAAGACATTTCTTGGTAGGAAAAGCCACAGACAGATGCCTGTTTTCATGCTTGGTACGCCACTTCTTTGTCGGGAACTGAACCGGTACCGCCTGGATCTCTGTGGCATTCAGGAGGTCCGGTGGACCGGTTCTGGCTCCTCCCACCATGAGGGGTGAACAGTCCTCTACTCGGGGCAGGAGACTACCAAACAACAGGGTGTGGCTCTTCTTCTGAACAAAAGAATGAAGGGGGCGTGGGAGCATGGCGGTGAGGTGTGGGAAGCTGTAAGCCCCAGGATACTTTGGGCTCGCCTTCCCATCAACCGGAGGCGAGGAGTGGTGGTCGTGGTTACTCATGCCCCCACTGAAGACGAACATTCGTGGAGGGATGCAGGCAAAGCCGATGAGTCAGATGCCTTCTATGACCTGCTGTCACAGGTGCTGGCTAAAGTGGCCACTCAGGACAGAGTCATCTTGTTGGGTGACTTCAATGCCCGAGTTGATCATGATGCTGGCATCTGGTCTGGAGTGATTGGAAGGTATGGGCCAGATCAGCTCAATAACAACGGTAGGAGGCTGCTAGATGTTTGTGCAGCCCATGGGCTTGTAATTACCAACACGCTCTTCCGGCATCAGCGCATCCACACATCATGGATGCATGCCGGGTCCAAGCAAGAACATCTGCTGGACTACATAGTGACGGACATCGGATGCGAGCTCATGTCCTTGATACCAGGACCTACCGTGGAGCCGATCTGCCCTCTGACCATCGACTAGTCATCTGTAAGATGCGCCTGCTATTCTTCCTCTCCGGTGGTGGGTATACACCCAGGACCCGATTTGCGAGAAAGGCAAGAAGGACACCAATATAGGAAAGCGGGGGGGGTGTGGGGGCCTCCAAAATGACAGGTGCCGAGGGGCTTCACGGGACCATGATCCGGCCCTGGGTGGTGGTGATGGTGGCGGTAGCGGTGATGGTAGTGGCAGTATTCGTCATGGTGGTGATGGTAGTGGTGATGATAGTGGTGATGATCATAGAAAACTTAAACACAACACAAGGAAGGCAATACAAGTGGTGGTGAAGATGCCGCGAGGTTTCAACACAGCCTACGTTCGCTCGGCCGCACAGAGAGAGAGAAGGAGGGGGGAGGGGAGAGGTGGGGGGAGGGGTTAAGGGTGGGGGAGGGGTGGGGAAGGTGGGGGAGGGGGTAGGAGGAGTAGGGAAGGGGAAAGGAGTGGGGTGGAGGAATCAATTATTTCGACGATTCCGGCTCCTAGGAATACGTTCTTTATTAAATCGATCCCCCCCCTACAAACCGAGAATAGAATCGCTACGTCGACGATTCGACAACCTTGAATCGATTCCCTATCCCGGGATTTCCACTCCCTCCAGCCAACAATCGATTCACTATCTCGACGAATCTGCCCCCTAAGAATCGATCCACAATCACGACGACTCCGCTCCCTATTAAGCGATTTCATTATCTCGACGATTTGCTCTCCTACCCGCTGAATCGTTTACGAAAAATCGATTCTTCAACACGCTGTCCTCCATCCTCCAAACACGAATCGATTCCAGGAATCGATTCATTTTCCCGTGAAGATTTTGAGCGATTCTTGCTATTAAGTGCAGGCAGAATCGATTCAGAATCAATATTCCGGGAATCGGAAGCTTTCGGGAATCGAAATTCTCAGGCGATCAGAATCTCGATTTTGATAGACAGCAGGAGCAATCCGATGAGCTGTGAAGCTCTTTTGCCGTCAACTCTAAACCACTTTTATTATTTTGCCAGGTGTAAGGTCCCCTCACTGAGCTGCTGTGTAGCTCTGTGTTTCAGACAAAGCGACCTGCCATCACCACAATGATGGCAGGTCAACCAAGAGGCTGGTATCATCATCATCACGTGGACATTTGAACCTCATGGCGGGACCCCCGGGGATCCTGAATGAACGTAAGTCAAAATCGTAATTTATTTATTTTTGGCGACTCCGTCCCACCGCGTACATAAACACCGCGACCCACCCAGCGTCGACCATTCTGCCATCATGTCCAAGCGCAGCGAGAACAAAAGGGCAGCAGAGCTGAACAAGCGAATGCACTCCATGCTCGGGTATGGGCAGGATCATTGGCAATCCCTGCCCGCGTCCACCTTTGGCGAATCGCTGGCCGTTCTCGAGGACTTCCGGAAAACATTCGGCAGCAATTTCGTCGCGAGTCGGTGGAGGGAGCGCATCATTGAGTACGTAAGCCTTTCCAATGGTACGTTCCCAGCGTCGACGTCGACGGCTACGGCCTCGTGCCAGACATCATCGGTGGCGGTGACGGCGCCATCATCTGCTACATCGTCTCGCGTGACAGCACTTTCGTCCTCACAATTGTCAACTCTGTCCAGCAGCGAAAGCGGTCGTCGGGTGGGCGGCAGTGGTGGATCGCAGCAAACCGTCCCGCTTCGTCAAGTTCGTGAACGTTGCAATCGCAAGGACACTGCAATGGCCCGCGCCATCAGCATTCTCGGTGATGACGCTGTTCGCAAAATTCGGGATGATTGGCAGTTGATGGAGACCGACCGGAATGGATCTGAATGGCAACAGTCGGAGAGGATTGTCCTGCAGATGCTTCAGCAGGGCTTGTCAGAGAGCGTGATTCGTGCAATCATCCCAGTCGGCGGTTCCAGGATCCATCGATTGCGGAAAGTCCTCGAGAATGGCATCGAAACACTGCATACGCGACGCCCGCCAAAAGTTCCACATCATGCCCTTGCTGATGATGATCTCGACGCCATCAAGGAGAATGCCTACACGTGGGAGGTCGAGGACGACTTTCCCTGCTCTCATCGTCGGCCTCGACAGTACTTTGTTGAGCCCAACATCACCTGGACCAAGCTTTATCGCCGATACAAGGCCAAGTTGGATGCTGTCAAGGGGTGTCGAGTCGTGTCGTATTCGCGATGGATTCAATACGTTCACATGTTCTATCCCGGACTGCGCTTGACGCGCACCACGGAAGACGTCTGCGACTGCTGCGTTCGCCTCGACGTCCGGCTCGCGTGCGAGGATCTTCCAGCAGATGAGCGCAAGCGCCTACTGGAGGAGAAGAATTTGCATCTCGATGCGGCCATCGACCAGCGCCGGACGGTGTCCACTTTCGTCAAGGAGTACGTCAAGCGGCACGCTCCTGATCAGAACATCCCCGTCACCATAATTCCGGACCACTATGACGACGCCGAACCCGACATTGTTGATTCTGCCTACGAATCGAGCCCCCTGCCGACGATTCAGATTCAGATTGAGGAATTTGGCGGTAGCTTCGCCATGCCACACTATGGTCACATGCGGCCGTCCGCCGATTACTTTGATTCAAACCTGATGTTGCAGAATTTCGTGCTGGCGGATATCACGAGCGGTATCAACAATGTGATCTTTTATGACGAGCGTGCCCAAGGAAAGGATGCGGACGCATTGTGTAGTCTTCGCTTCATGTACCACATGCGGCTGCTCGCCAAAAACCCGGGCGCGATGTCCAAGACCCTGGTGGTGATTCTGGACAACTGCGTTGGCCAGAACAAGTCTCAAGTCATGTTCATGTTCTTTGCGCTGCTGTCGCTCTTGTTCTACCGCAAAGTCGTTTTGTTGTACCTCATGCCGGGGCACTCGCACAACCAAGCCGATCGAGTTGTTACATGGTGTCGCAATTCAATGAAGGGCAAGAACTTCTACACGCCGTCGGATATCGTCGATACTGTCAACCTGATCAACAGCGTCGAGGCAACGTTCATCGATCATCAGGATGCCCAACGCCCTTTTTACACGGGCTGGGAGAGTCTTTTGAAGAAGCACTTCAAGTCGATGCCGCCCCGATACACTTCCAACTACTTCTTTGAGTTCGATGAAGGAGTGCTCAGCATGAGACACCTGAGTTCGACTCCGGACAACGAGGTCACCTGTGTCCCGCTAATCGTGCCGGAGAACATCGATCTCGTTCGGCGATCCATTCTACAGGATCTTTTTGGCACCAATGTCAACACGATCGAGGAGGGGACGTTCGAGTCGATCCGATTGCCGACGGCTCCTGTCAGCAGCCTATCAAACAAGAAGCTGGCCTCACTATCGAAGAAGTACTTCTCGATTCCACCCGAACACCTGCCGTACTATCCGGCTGTCCCGAGCGAGATCAGCTCGCAGATCGACGACCATCCGATGCCTGAAGGAAGCCCCACTCGCGCGATGAAACGAAAGCGTTCCGCCGTTGACGCGATGGTGGAGCCGGCCACTGAGATCGGTTCGGCAGGCAGGCCGAAATGATAGGAGCTCAACCGAATGGTTGATATCATCATCATCGCCACCACCGTGGGAATGTAGAGCTGCCAAAATAATCTAAACCTAGTCTATTAACAGACTGTCAGGGCAAGTGATAATTTATACTGTGGCAGGAATAGGAAATCTGAAACGCTGTGAAGCTCTTTGTTTAGAGATGTTCCAGTAGGAGGCAAACGGGGTCAGAACGTTACAAGAACAAACAATGCCAGACATAAACAACACCGATAGGAGTACAAAGCAATAGGAAGGGTAAACACATCGCTTTAAATATATTTACACAATTAAAACGACAACGATTTGTAACGATGTAATCGAGGATTCGAATCCTCTGTTAAGTTTGAGGGTGGCGATTACCTCCCACCGATTCCCAAGATTTAATTGAGGCATCGATTCTTCTGGAAGTTTCTGTGGCGATTTCCCCTACAGATTCAAAGATGAAATCGAGGAATTGTTTCCTCTGCAAAGTTAAGTTTAGCGATTCCGGACTCTGAACAATATTTGTCGAGATCGATTGTTCCCGTTAGGTTGGATTCAATCGACCGATTCCGACTTTTAGATTCTTTCCTGAGAAATATCGAAATCGATTTTTCGTTTTGGATTCAATGGAGCGAATTCTATCGATTCTACTTTATTTGTAAAATAAATCAATAATAATATAGGATTATTACTATCAGATATTCATATAGGATGGTATAGGATATTAATATAAATATATATGAATATAGGATAATATTATTACAGGATATTAATCTCAATATAGGATATTAATACCCACTAGAGGATATTAATATTATTATAGGATATTAATATCAATTTAGAATATTCATATTATCATAGGATATTAAATGGACTATCCTTTGTGGTCAGGCCGCGAACTGAAATGTTTTTTTTATAACAGCTCAGTGGGGTCTTAACCTGATAAAGTAAAATAAATTAAACTAGTTTCTAGTTTAGTTTCATCGTCAGTAGCAGTCAGGCAATTGGCTTGAACCAGATGGGGGCGCCATGGTGCCTATGGAGATGGTAACCACCTCGCTTTGGATACAGGAGGTCGTGGGTTCGATCCTGACCGTGGCCATATCTGCTGCTGCTGTGGTGGTCACTGCGTGGATTTTTCTCTTTCGCGACCAATATCATCCATAATAGAGGTTGTTGTAGGGTTAGATCGTATAAATATCTATCGTACTCAGATTGTCAATGTTGTGGCTTGGCTCTCAAACACACCAGCGTTCTGTACTAGTGACGAATTGGCATGTTCTGTTTACGTGACAACCCTTACTAGTTGGCTGTGTCAGGTGGTGGCAGGTTTTAATGACACATTTATATATTTACGCGATGTAACCCAAAAAAGACATCTATTAAGGGTAATGAAGCCGACGCTTATTTAAATGTGAAGTTCCTTGGTCCAGTCAGTCTGCCTTCCGACACGCTCTGTTGCTCAACCTCCGTGAATTTTTAGCGATTCTCAAGCATTTTAGATTCGTTTGATTTACTTAATCCTTAGGCGTAAGAAACCTTTTTAAACACTGTCATTGTACTCGATACACGACAGGTAGTTGATTCAATGTGCTCTTTGTGTTCACCGTCTTAAACAAAATAATAACAGCTTCATATCGGACCCTTGGTCAGGAACGTAACCCTACATCGTATGGTCGTTTCTCTGGGAGAATGGGTCTCGACTTACGTCGTTTCGACACCGCGTCGACTTTTTACACGCTTTCTTTTAACTCAGTCTGTTGTCATTGTTGTTGTCGTTGTTGTATCCTCAAATCTTGTAACTCAATTTTAATCTACTTCCCAATGTGGTGTCGACTGCAAACTTGGTATACTTATGTCATACTCATGACAATACTATATTCTATCATTAAAAATATATATTTTTTAAACATTCTTTTTTATATGTTATGTTTCGGCTTAGGTCTAATTGTCCACGGTCAACTGACGTTGGCTGTAATTGGCCACGGTCCCTTACATTATGGCAAGCTTTGGGCCACTTCCTGGAATCATGGAGTTCTGCCATTACTAGTACATTTCATAAAAGCGTGTTAAAAAAAGTTTTTTTAATATAACTTTTTGGAGGTACGTCACCTGACGTAGGACCGAAGACTGCGTGGACAGGAGCAGTCCCCCACTTATGAACGCATTCCCTGAGACCCCACCCCCCCCCCCTGCTCGTGAGTAGAGCGGTTCTTAATTTGGAACACTACATATGTGTTGAGGAGCTCCCACGGACGCACTCGGAAACGGAGGTAAGTTATGGCCTTTCGCCAAGGGTTTATTACTGGTTAACAATAACACACAAGGGTACACAACTCCCAGGGGCGAGGGGTCCTACACTGAGTCCTGGTCCCTGCCCGGCTAGCTCTGGTCTCTCTCGTGTCGGATCATGGACTCTGCCGACTCCACCGACCGGAGAGAGAAGCACCTCTACGGCTGCTACCACCGGCTTCTCCCCAGACTCACTACTCGATCCCTCTCTACCCCTGGTTCCCTCTTCACCCTTCTTACTCTACCCGTTCCCACAGTGACCCCGCTTTCGTCACGGGATCTCCCTTAAGTACTCTAGGAGACGTGACGTCATCGCACTGAACGGCACACATGACGTCACGTTCCCATTTTACTCCTCTACATATGTACCGCATTTAAATGCGCACACGGTCAGCATTAGAAAATGTGTGTACGTACGTACGTTGAACTTCTGTCGCACCGTGCATAGTCAACCCGTCGCTGATTGGAGGTGTGATGGGGAAGGACAACAAACTAAACACAACAACAACCAGCAGTTGTAAAGGAATTAGACTGTCAATGTAGATGATTTAAAAGTGCACCACAGCTCCCACGGGCTTCCTAATATTGAAAGCAGGGGCGGTTTCTTCATTAGGGCGATTGGGCGACGCACCACCAATGTCATTGAACCACAGAGTCACTGCAGCCTCTGGATATAGTCCAATCAGCGTCATGTCACGTTCTGTGGAGTACCGCCTCTTTTTGGGCGATTTCACTCCGGCTGAGAATCGCCCCGAGTGGCCCCATAGACTTACATTCAAAGATGTTTTTTTTTCGACCGGGGGGCACTCCAATGCATTCTCTATGGCTTCCGGGAGGGCTCGCCCTAACGTGCTTACGTCATCATACGTGCTTACGTCATCATACGTAAGCACGTTTCATCCAACAATATAATTTGTGGCCACCTAGTGGAATCTTTAATAAAATAAACTTGAGTGGTTTGTTTTAATAGTGAGTATAGAAACAAACAAGATGTATTGTAAGAGTCACTTTATTTTTCATTAATATTAAAGAAGTGAAGTTGCCTTTACATGCTTAAGCTGTTAATTTATCCATTGCATGGGTGGACCTTATCCTTATCAATCATCCAGACATTTTCCCCCCCTGAGAGATTTTGCAGGAGCCGCCACTGATTGAAAGGGAAGCGCGTTCCAGACGGCCGCAGAAGCACTGCACATTTGAAAGCGACGTGCCAGCCAGAAGCCACTGCTGCTACTGCCGTGAGGATGACGACCGGAGTTTGAGCGATGATGGTTTAACGCTACCTTGACGAGATCATCGGCGGGGTCGTTGCGGATCATTTGGTCGCGGACGACTTTGTGTGTGTAATGAGCGCGACCCCGATAACAAATCTGCTGCTGCTGTATTTGTCTGGCAAGCGGGAGCCAATGCAGATCGGTTAGCACGGGATGCACACGGTTCGGATCTTGCGGTACCCCGTCATGACCACGTGCCAAATAATTTTGTACACACACAACCTGCAGGTTGGAAATGTGTTTTTTTTTTCCCCAGACGTCCCGTAGAGTAGTGAGTTGCAATAAACGAGCCTTGACGATGTAGCAACTGCACGGCATGCCACCACTGAGTTGGCTGTCCGCTGCTAGGGTGAGCAGAGTGTGAGCGATGATGGTTTAAACGCTCCTTGACGAGATGATCGGCGGAGTAGTTGCGGTTCATTTGGTGGCGAGCGACTTTGTGTGTGTGTAATGAGCGCGACCCCGATAACAAGGCTGCTGCTGTATTCGTCTGGCAAGCGGAAGGCAATGCAGCTCTGTGAGCAATGGACAGACCACGGTTCGGTCTTGCCATTGTTCAACTTACGACTAAGAAGACATTGCACATTTGCATGTAACACTGTAATAAAAAAACACTGCTGCGTGGATGAGTGGAGTTTATCTTCCTTGACGACATCGGTGGCGAGGCATCGTGGCTCATTTGCGGCGAGCCACTTTGTGTGTGTGTGCTGAGCCCGATGGGTTGATTAGATGAACCATCAGTGGTGGTGTAGCGGTTATCGCTACGTTGCGCCACAAACCTGGCGACCCAAGTTCGATTCCCGCTCACGGCCACCAACACCACTGCCGACTATCTTAACCGGTCATGAGCCTCTCCTAGGTTGACTCAGCCTCAAATGAGTACCTGGTGCGATGTGTAAACATCGCCACTAGGAGGACAAAGGCGGCCGGGCGTGGTGTTGGTCACCCACCCCCTCATGTGCTGTGCCGGCCTTCATAGGTGCTCGCTAATAGCACTTGCCCCTACAGTCTGTTACAAGCCTACACGGGGGAGCTTTATCTTTGTCTTTTTTTAGCACGATGTGTTGTTTAGAAGAGCCATCGGCAGTAGTGTAGCGGTAAGCGCTACACTGCGCTACGAACCCGTTTACCCGAGTTCGATTCCCGTTCACGGCCAACACCCATTGACGATTACACTATGTAACACAATTTTTGTTCCTAGATAGTAAGTGTTATTTCGTAATTGCTTATGTCTAAAAAGTATAGAAAATGGCTATTATTCCCCACAAACTTTGCTTTAGTGACCAGAACATTGATATTTTGAAATTTACCTATTTGCAATGAGAAAACGGGCGAATTTGTGTCTTTTAGTTCACAAAGTCAGAAAAAACATATGAATCAAAATTAACATGTATTTATATTAAAGTAATACAAAAATGACTACAAAAGATTTTGAAGTGAATAGTTTTTCGAGATTTACGATTATACTGTAAATAACTTTCACAAATCAGCCCACAAATGTAGTCTCCCATCATGTTCTCGTTATACTGTCCTTGGTAGCGGCGTTCAAATTCCAGTATATCCTGGTGGAAGCACTCGCCTTGCTCCTCCGAATACGCTCACATGTTCTCCTTGAATTTATCAAGATGAGCATCAAGGATATGGACTTTGAGGGACACCATACAGCTCATTGTGCCAGAGTTCTTCACCAGAGTCTCAATCAGCTCCACGTAGTTTTCGACCTTGTGATTGCCCAGGAAGCCACGAACCACTGCGACAAAGCTGTCCCAAGCCGCTTTCTCCTGACTAAGTGAGCTTCTTTGGGAATTAATTGCACTCCAGGATCTTCTTCATCTGTTGTCCGACAAAGACACCGGCTTTGACCTTTGCCTCAGACAGCTTAGGAAAGAAGTCTTGAAAGTGCTTGAAGGCTACTGACTCCTTATCTACAGCTCTGCCAAATTGTTTCATAAGGCCCAATTTGATGTGCAGTGGTGGCATCAGCACCTTCCGGGAGTCCACCAGTGGCTCCCACTTGACGTTGTTCCTCCCCACACAGAACGCGGTCCGTTGTGGCCAGTCCCGCCTGTGGTAGTGCGCCTTGGTGTCCGTGCTGTCCCAAAGGCAAAAATAGCAGGGAAACTTAGTAAAACCGCCTTGGAGACCCATCAGGAATGCCACCATTTTGAAGTCTCCGATGACCTCCCAGCCGTACTCATCATACTTTAAGGCGTCCAGCAAGGTCTTGATGCTGTTGTAAACCTCTTTGAGGTGCACCGAGTGAGCCAGGCGAAGAGATGGGTACTTGTCACCATTATGGAGCAGTACGGCTTTGAGGCTCCTGGATGAGCTGTCAATGAAGAGGCGCCACTCATTTTGGTTACAGGCGATTCCAATTGCCTCGAACAGAATGGTCACATTGTGGCAAAAGCAGAGCCCATTTTAACGGGTGAAAAAGCTGCAAAAAGGTAATTGACGCTTCCTCTGATCTGTGACTTGCACACTTTTATCCAACAAGTTCCACTGCTTGAGCCTAGACGTCAAAAGCTCGGCATTGTACTTGGTGAGACCAATATCTCTGATCAAGTCGTTGAGGTCTTTTTGCTTGGGGTAGTATGGGTTTCTCTCCTCAGCTCCACCTGTGAAATTGTCATCTGGATCTACAACGTCTTCCTCTCTCTCTGACTTGCTCTCTTCTAAAGATGGCTGCTCTCTCTCCGGATGAGTGGGAATGGGGAGCTCATGGCAGTGTGGCACCTTGGCGATAGATGAAGGAAGGTCCAGATACGTGATAGCAGGTGCATTCTTGTCAGTCCGACGTTTGGAAGGGTCCACCATGCAGAAGTAGTAGTTGCTTGAGTGGTCAGTGGGTTCCCGCCAAATTCTTGGAATAGCGAACTTCATGGATTTTTTTCCCCTCTGTACCATCCTACAAAATTACATTTATTTCACCCATGACTAATGTGTAAGAGTTTCTCACAACATTTTTCATATATGATATATTTTTTCAATAACATTGAAAATTGTCAAATACTGTATAAAAAAAACATTTTTACAATAAAATTTTTTTTTTATAACTTAATTTCGACCAACAATTGTCCATCTTACCTTCTAGAGTTGTGTTTGCATTGCTCGCAGGTGAATAGAGGTGCCCAGGGTTTGTCTTGATCCCCGACAGGCATGCCAAAATATTCATTTTAGGCCTCACACATCTTAGCAGATGCTTCCACAGAGTACTTTTTCGCTCATGTCTTGACTCAATGTATCACTCGGCCTTAAGATTTGCGTTGAACTGCCCATAGAGACTCACCACTGTGATCTCTACATTGGGTCAAACTTAACATCTTTCAATGTTCGACGGCTTGTGCATCAGATCTTATTTATTCATGATGTACTTACAAAAAAATCCGCAGATTACCTGCTGGATCTCCTCTCTGTTTCAAAGAACAAATTTGACCTAAGGTCTTCGCTCATTTACCAGCTTCACATTCTCTATTGCCGTACAAATACTGGAGGAAGGGCCTTTGCTATTGATGCCCCCAGGGTCTGGAATGCTATTGCCAATAAACTGCAACTTGAATCACTACCTATGAGATCTTCACTCAAAACTGCTCTAGAGGAGTTGTACACCCCTAGCTGCCATTGCAATTTATTGGCCTAAAATACAATGTTTCGCTCCGGATGATCGCTGCAAAGTATGCAAAGTATGCAAAGTATGATCTGTGTTTTGATTTAGTGTGCTGATCTTAAAGGTGCCCTTACGGTAGGTGGTTTCAAAATCAAAGTCCTGGAGAACCTCCAACCATCGAGACAACTGTCCCGATGGTTGTTGAACTCGCAGGGCATACTGTAGTGTCGCATGATCTGTGCGGACGGTGAAATGCCGACCGTACAGATATGGGCGATACTGTTGGATGAAATAGACAATTGCCAACAGTTCCCTATGGGTGACACAATATCTTTGCTCCGCAGGAGACAACACCCGACTACCGTACGCGACCACCCGTTCCACGCCATCAACCACCTGGGAAAGCACACCCCCAATACCCGTGTTGCTCGCATCGGTGTCGAGCAAAAAGGGCTTAGAAAAATCTGGGTAAATCAAGGGAGGGGCTTTTACCAGGGCGTCCCGAAGGGAGCAGAAAGCAGCCTCCTCCTCTTGACCCCAGTGGAACCGAACCCCTTTAGATGTTAAAGCGTGCAGGGGTTTTGCAATTGTCGCAAAATCAGCGACGAACCGTCGGTAATACGACGCGAACCCAATGAAACTCCTGACCTCTCCCACCGAGGTGGGAGTCGGCCAGGAGCTGACACACTGCGTTTTGGCGGGATCAGTAGCAATACCTGAGCGTCCCACGATGTGCCCCAAATAACGCACCGAATCGCGCAACAAATGGCATTTTTGGGGCTTGAATTTCAAATTAGCAGCCCGCATCTTTAGGAAAACCGCCCGCAACCTCTGGAGATGTTCGTCAAAAGTTTTACTAAAGACGATAACGTCATCCAAATAAATGAGGCACGACTCCCATTGCAATCCAGCCAAAACCAATTCCATCAAATGCTGGAAAGTTGCCGGCGCTGAGTGTAAGCCCATCGGCAACCGGTTGAATTGGAACAGGCCATGCGGTGTACGGAAAGCAGTTTTAGGCTTTGAATCATCGTCCAGAGGAAGCTGCCAGAATCCCGAAAGTAAATCCAGTGTGGAAAAGAATCGCGCTCCCGCCAAGGCGTCCAGCGATTCATCCATCCGAGGGAGCGGGTATGCGTCGGCAACCGAAATTTTGTTAAGACGCCGGAAATCAACGCAAAACCACAACGAACCGTCCTGCTTTTTAACCAGGACGATCGGCGCTCCCCAAGGGCTGGTGGAAGGAGAAATGATGTCGGCGGCCAACATGTCATCAACAGCCGATTTGACATGGTCCTTTTCGGCGGGACTCAACCGAAACGGATTTTGGCGAATTGGCGCGCTGTCACCCGTGTCAATATGGTGACGCAGCAGGTGAGTACAACCCAAATCGTATTTATTCCGACTAAAAACGTCGGAAAATTCCCGCAGTAGTGTTTTAAGTTGTTGACGCTCTGAATCTGACAGGTCCGTCGATCCCGCACAAAGCGCCTCGAGCCACCCTTCATCGCTGTCCGAATGCGGTCGCGGCGCAGGGACAACGCTGACGTGATTTGCGACGGGTTCCTCACATGGCACCGGCGTTGCATGAGCAAGCACGGTCCCCTGTGGGACCACCACCGTCTGCGAGCCCACATTGAGGACCGCGATGAAGGGTTCACCGTCCCCTCTTACTATGGTCTGGGCCGGAAGTAAATGAGGTCCACTAACCCCGGCCCTAGACGGCCCCAGCAGAACCCCTTGGGCCCCAACACCCTTAGCGAAGGGCCGCCGAAGTTTCAAGGGAATCAACATTTGCGCCCCCGGAGGTACGCGCACCGTTCTCTCTACGAATGCCGGCACCGTCGCGAACGCCGTCCGAGTCGTAACAGGCGATGGCAGAAACGCCATGCGTCTGCCCGACGGGAGCTCAATACATCCCTGGTCGATCAATATCCTAATCGGCATTTTGGCCAGGAAGTCCGTCCCCAGCAGGCACGGAACCGCCAGCGAGGAGGAAA